GTGAGTTTGATCAGGCAATTAAGTTGTTGGATAAGCTTCTTGAAAAGCAAATCATCTTGAGGCCAGAGAGTTCGATCGAGATGGAGGCTAGTGCTTATAACCCCATGATCCAGTATCTCTGTGACCATGGTCAAACAGAGAAGGCAGAAATCTTTTTACGACAGTTGATGAAAAAGGGGATCCCTGATCATGCTGCCTTTAATAGTTTGATCTGTGGGCATGCAAAAGAAGGGAATCCTGATTCTGCCTTTGAAATTATAAAAATCATGGGTAGGAGAGAGTTGTCCAGAGATGCAGACGTCTACAAATTGCTCATTGAGAGCTACCTAAGGAAGGGTGAGCCAGCTGATGCTAAAACAGCATTGGATAGCATGATTGCAGATGGGCATCTTCCAGATTCATTGGTGTTCCGATCAGTTATGGAGAGTTTGTTTGAAGATGGAAGGGTCCAAACTGCGAGCCGAGTTATGAAGACCATGATAGAAAAGGGTGTGAAGGAGCACATGGACTTGGTTGCCAAGATCTTGGAAGCTCTCTTCTTGAGAGGACATGTAGAGGAAGCCCTTGGACGAATTGAACTACTGATGCAGAGTGGTTGCACACCAAATTTTGATAGTCTTCTATCTGTTCTTTGTGAGAAGGAGAAGACCATAGCTGCTGTTAAGTTGTTAGGTTTTTGTTTGGATAGAGACTGTAATATAGGCTTTTCAAGCTATGATAAGGTGCTGGATGCTCTCTTGGCTGCTGGAAAGACCCTGAATGCTTATTCAGTATTGTGTAAAATAATGGAGAAAGGTGGGATCAGTAACTGGAGTAGTCTTGACGATTTGATTAAGAGTCTCAACCAGGAGGGAAACACAAAGCAAGCAGATATTCTCACTAGAATGATATTAAAGGGAGGGGAGGCAGTATCTGGAAGCAAGAAAGGGAAGAAACAAGCAACTATTGCTAGCTAAGTTGCCCTGTTCACTTTAGGTTTGAATAACTAATTTAAGATTTTACCAATTTTCTGGTTTTTTTTTTTCCCAAGTTATCATTAAAGTTTATGATCCTTCTCTTTCTTTTCCTTTTGATTTTAAATGAAGAATTTATTAATTCCAGTGAGAAGTTAGTCATTGGTGCTACAGTTGAAAGCAATCTGCATTCTCATAGATATGAATGACACAGGTTCTCAGAAATCTGTATGGTTCTAGTTTTGGTTTCATTTTTCTTTTGTTTTGCTCCTAACATGTCATGCCATGAAATGGACACAAGGATATTACCTGAATGTCATGAATTCATACCAGAACATCTGAACAAGTTCAGTGACTTAATCTGGTAGTTGAATTGATAATGCAATTGCTGCAGGTAGGTAAAATGTTGATGAA